TACGGAGGCGAGTAACCTGCGCCTACTATACTGGAATCCGGACGGGATACAACGGAAGATCCATGAACTCCGCACTGTCGCCCAGCAGTAGGACATACAGGTGATATTGCTGGGAGAGACAAAATTAAATCTATCAATGCATCTTAAGCTGACAAATTACCATATCTACAGAAGGGACGAGATCAATCCTCAAGGGACCGCCTACAGAGGCACGGCGGTTCTAGTAAGGAGAGACATCGTCCATCAAGAACTGGACCTGCCAACATACGAAACGATGGGCTCTATCGGCATAATAATGGAGGCGGCGGACGAGGAACTAAGGATCTACTCAGCATACCGCCCGCCAGGGACTCCATTTTGCTACTCAGACATCCGGACGGTAATGGAAGACGTAGCACCTACCATCGTCGCGGGGGACCTAAACGCGAAACACCCGGCGTGGGGGTCCAGAGTGATCACCCCGCCGGGTCGTGAACTCTATGATGACGCCGAGAGATACGGCTATGACGTTTTAGGTCCCGAGGAACCAACGCACGTCCCTACGGTTCACCGGAGATGTCCGGATGTATTGGACATCGTGCTCTCTAGGAACGTCAACTGCCCTATAGTGGTACTGGTGCTGTACGACTAGAGTTCACAGCACCTCCCGATTCTAATCACCCTTGGCCTTAAGGCAGTGACTACGCTGCCCGGAGCTCTTAAAAGGAAGATCAATTGGAGGCTCTACCAGAAACACCTAACGGAGAGACCTCCAACATATACCCCAACCAACACAGCGGAGGACGTAGAGGCCGCTGCAAAGAGAATCACAAAGACGATACAGGAGGCCCTACGCGCGGCCTCTACGATCGTCCCAAACACTGGAAGGCGGGAAGAGCTGTCACGGGAGATCTGCGTGCAGCTCAAGAGAGCACTGAGAAAGCTCTAGACGCGTACTCGCTGCCCCAGAATCAAAACGCAGCTGAACACCTTGTCGGATGAACTGTCGATTGCAGTCCGGGCCCACAGAGGAGAGGCCTGGGAGCGGCGCATATCGAAAGCAGAGGAGAAAGATGCGTCGCTCTACAAACTGAACCGGTAGTTAACAAAAACCAGACCCCCCGTTTGCCCGCTGACTAACAACGCGGGCGAACGTTGTTACAAGGCCAAAGGTAGAGCGGATATCCTAGCGGAGCACTTCGAGGAGCAATTTATGCCGAACCCAGCAAGTGCGGAGTTCATGGAACTTCATACCCGGAAGGAGAGCCGCGTACAGGAGTTCCTGCCATCGCCCGCGCCACCAGGAGAGTGGTTTATATCCCCCGCCCTATTGCGGAGGAACAGTAGCCCGCCTGCAAACCAGAAAGGCGCCGGGGCACGACGGGATAACCAACGCCGCACTTCGACAGCTGCCCAATAGAACACTTGTAGAGCTAGGTCTACAACGGTATATCCCACTTCCCGGAAGACTGGAAAATCGGCAAAGTGATCGTTCTGCCGAAACCCGGGAAGGACAGGCGTATAGCAGCCAGTTATAGGCCGATCACGCTGCTACCACGCTTAGCTAAACTGTGCGAAAGATTGCTGCTAAGAAGCTTCCGCGCTTGCGTACAACATCGGGCGGAACAGCACGGATTCAGGAGGGGCCACTCAACAGCAACACAGCTGACCAGGGTGCTGCACTATCTTGCGGCCGAATACAACCGCGGCCGCACATCGTTGGGCGTCTTTCTCGACATAGAGAAGGCGTTCGACAGAGTGTGGCACTCTGGATTACTCTATAAATTGGAAGCACAAACAAGTACCCCTCCTGCTATGTTGCGGCTAGTGGCGTCATTCCTCAGAGATAGGAAGTTCTACGTCTGTGTAGAGAACGCCGAGTCCGCAGCGAGACCAATTAGAGCCGGCGTACAACAGGGCAGCTGTCTGTCGCCGATCCTGTACGCGGCTTACACCAATGACATCCCCACCCTGGCAGACCACCTGAGCGAATGGGAAGACGATGTTGAAGTAGCACTATATGCGGACGATAGTGCCTACTTCACATCGTCTAGAAGAGCCCACATAGCCACTGCCAGGATGCAGCGCCTGCTGGACCTGCTGCCACCATGGCTTGACGAGTGGAGGATGGCCGTCAACGTTGGCAAGACGACCGCTCTGCTCACTCGCCGCTACAGGAACTTTCCACCACCACTGACGCTCAGGGGCCAGGAGATCACTTTCTAGAAGACGTACCTAGGGTGCCGGATCGACCGGATGCTGCGCATGACCGCGCACGTCGATATCGACGTCCGCAACACCAGATATGCGCGGGCGGCGCTCCGTCCGGTCCTAACATCAAAATTACCTCTGAAAACGAAAGATAAAATTTACAAAACCTATATTAGATAAAAGTTCACACACGCTACGTTCGGAACGACGTCATCGCGACCAACTTGAGGATGGAGACAGTCGAGCAATTTGTGGCCCGATTAGCGCGCGGCATGTTTGACCGTGCTGATAACGGGCCACATGAACACCTACACAACTTTGCACCCCTACATGCTCGGCCACCGGACGGGCGACCTCTACCAAGAGAACTCCTCTCTATAGCGATTAGAGAGTCGAGTAAAATCCACAATGCCACAGATAGGCCAACTTAGACGATTAGCCGCACTAGCCGCCTATAAGACGACACCTGGAATACCTCAGACCGAATTAGGCGCCTTTTTCAGGCATTGGCCGCATTAGGCGTCTTTTTCAGGAAATCGGCCATATTATACCGCTCTTTCAGGCATTGGCCATATTACCCGACCCTTTCAGGGAATTTTTTCATGAAGATTTTAACCAACATACATCATCATCATCATTACAGCCTTTCATAAGTCCACTGCTGAACATAGCCCTCCCCCAAGGAATGCCACAAAGCACGGTCCCGAGCCACCTGCATCCATCGACTTCCTGCATGTCTTACCAGGTCGTTACTCCATCTCGTGGGGGGTCGCCCGACACTTCGCCTACCGGTACGAGGCTGCCACTCAAGAGCCTTTCTTCCCCATCGGTTGTCGGTTCTTCGAGCTATATGGCCGGGCCATTGCCACTTCAGCTTACTAATCCGTTGGGCTATGTCGGTCACTCTGGTTCTACTGCGGATATCCTCATTTCTAAGTTTATCACGGAGTGAAACTCCGAGCATAGCCCTCTCCATAGCTTGCTGAGCGACCTTGAGCTTCCTCATACGACCAGCAGTGAAGGACCACGTCTCAGATCCGTAAGTCATCACTGGCAACACGCACTGGTTGTACAATTTCGTTTACAGGTTTTGAAGTATGTCTAACGAGAAGATGTGTCGTAGTTTCCTGAACGCTGCCCAGCCGAGTTGAATCCGTCGATTGACCTCTCGGTCGAAGTTGGACTTACCTAGTCGGACTATTTGTCCCAGGTAAACATACTCGTCAACAACTTCGAGCTTAGTGCTCCCAACAACTACCGGCATAGGTGTGACATGGACATTAAACATGATCTTTGTTTTGTCCATGTTCACCTTAAGACCTATCCGTTGGGAGACACTATTGAGGTCATTGAGCATGGTGCTTAGATCCTCCAGCGATTCTGCCATAAGGACTATATCGTCGGCAAATCGAAGGTGAGTGATGTACTCGCCATTGATATTAATACCGTATCCTTTCCAGTCCAGAAGCTTGAAAGCATCTTCCAATGCAGCGGTGAAGAGTTTCGGGGATATAACGTCACCCTGTCTTACACCTCTCTGCAATTGGATAGGTTTCGTACTCTGGTTCTGTACTCGGATAGCCATCGTAGCCCTACTGTACAAGCACTTCAGCACTTCGATATACCGACAGTCAACTTGGCACCGCTGAAGGGACTGCAACCAACATACAGCGACCGGGAAATCGAACCCGCGTCGCTGCTTCACCCAACAATGCCATAACGGCTCCCACGACCGGTGCATAGTGATGCACCGCGAGGAGATTCCGGGCAAAGGGGGTATGCCCCGAGGCCCGATACCTGCTGTGTACTTTAGCACACATGCAGACGACTACGTAGTATGCAAATCGTTCGGGACCAGCTTCCAGTAATATATATAATCAAGAAAGAAAGCATAAAGCATTTTTTAAAAATAAAAAAAAATAAAAAATATGGGAAAAATTATTACTCTCTCACGGAGCGGCTTGAAGATAATTGCTGTGTGTTTATTCCCAAGTATTCCCAAGTGATCCTTCACATTTAAATATTAATATATAGCTCATCACGTGCTAACGTAGTAAATATTGAAGAATTAAGGCGTTTGGCATTACACCGGAGGCATGGAGCGGAAGTGCGGTGGTCTTGTTCTTTAAGAAAGGTGACGATACTCTCTTGAAGAACTATAGACCGATTTCTCTTCTGAGCCGCGTCTATGTGCTGTTTTCGAGAGTCATTACGAATCGTCTCGCACGCAGACTTGACGACTTCCAGTCTCCCGAACAAGCCGGTTTCCGAAAGGGCTTTAGCACCATAGACCACATACATACCCTTCGACAAGTTGTACAGAAGTCAGAGGAGTACAATTTGCCACTATGCCTGGCGTATGTGGACTATGAGAAAACCTTTGATTCCGTCTGTCAATGAGGGTTAATAATCTTCCACACACCAGATGTCGCTAGTTCTGACTGAGGTAAAGTTTTTTGTTACATTTTGTCATTTAATTAAGAAATTAGATTTAAATAATAGTTCATCATTATAATAAAGTATTATATTAATATACAACACAAAGCGTCAGTAGTTTGATTTTTAATTTTTGGCACTTATAACTCGTTGTTTTATTTTTATATTTTAGTTATATTTATAGTTTGGATTATTAATTTCTAATCTAATTAATATAAAATGTAACTAATAATACAGAAAGAAACCTTAAAGATTAAATTTTTCTAAGAAATTTTCGTCCCTGCTATGAAATCCGTAAAATATTTACCTCACTGTAAAGTGGCGCCGCACTGGTGGCATAAAAAGTCGTGGTGCCCCCATTATAATGTGTAGTTAGTATGTGGTCTGTGAGTAATTGTGTTGTGTACCATCGGATCACGGTCGTGGTCGCGGTCAAAGAAAATATAATCACATCGTTTATCGTCGTTCGCGGTTCCTGATTACTAAAGATGTGCCAATTTGGAAAAATTACACCCCGAGTTATAATGTTTTGAAGAAGAAATAATGATTTGAAGTGGACTTTGATATGTAAAAGTGGTGCGATTTTCTGTATTAAGTGTCTGCGCATGTGAATTATTAGTGGAAACTGTGAAATAAGTGCCCTGAGATACCATCGCCACCCGTCGGCTGTCTGCTGGCTCAAGTTGCCGTCAAAATCTCCCAAAGGCTGTACAATGTGACGCATTAACATATTGTGAAGCAGTATACTATGAAGGATAATTATTATAATATATTGTAATTGGTAAATTCAGGCTCAGAAGGGCTAGATCCCAGAGCCGTAAAGCCAGTTTATTAAGAAGAAGATTAATGCGTAATGCAACAATCGCATTACATTTTACTACTAAAAGCTAAGTGTTCTATGAAAGTAAATATATACGGGTCATCTTAATTCACGTTCTCGGCAATTATAATTATTGAATGTATTCGAAATTGAACATTTGAAGCTGAGATTAAAAAAGAAAATATTAGGTACGACAGGTAAGCATATTTCTTTGTGGCTGGAAAAGAGTCAATGTTAACAAAGTTTATTCAGTATTCAGGCGTGTTCTTTTGTTTAAAGCGCGTTTAAGTCTCCTACTTTTCTGTGATTGGAAAATGATACATTCAACTCAATGTGCTCACATGGATGCTATTTTGTGCTAAGTAGTATTTCATAAGCAGTTTCATAGATTTAAGTTTTCTCTTGCCGGTTGCCGGCACCACTATAATTTGCTTTTGTAAACTACAAGGAATCATATATATCTAAATAATCATATACTTTAATTAGGGTAAATTGAGCCAACAAGATGATAGGAGAGCTGATTCTTTTCTCGTTTAAAGGCGATATTTTTTATTTATAATTTATAGAAGAGGTGGTCCATGACCATGCAGCTCACCTGATGGTAAGTGTAGCCATTCAAGAGGACATGCAGCCAGTATTTTTGGAACTGTTAAGCAGGTAGTAAGACTGTAGCATAATCTATGTTTTAAGTGTTAGTTCTTTTATTATGATGATAAATGTTGTATAATATATTTTTATAATATAGAATATCTATCATCACAAAGAAATATTAAAGCTTGTTAAACCCCATTCTTATACTATACATTATGTAGACCTAGGCCAACAAACAAAGAATTTTTTTATTATAACTTAACATAATTATTATATATTAACTTACATATCCCTCACACACATAAATTTACCCACTCAAATTTTTCTATTAATTTACACAAAATTAATTTTGCATGCATACTTATTATCTTGTTTAAACTGTAGTCTAAAATAATTTATATTGTGAAAGTGGTTTTGGATGAGAGGAGTTTCCCGGGACAAGTAATTTATTTAGCTTAAAAGGAATCTCTCATGTATACAGTACGCAAGATTACTACATGATAAATGATGCTTGAGTCCAAGGTTTAAGAATTAAAGTGATTACCATAGTCACCAAGGTAAAGTTGATAGTTGAAGACAGTTTAAATCTCACCTACATTTATTATTTTCAGATTTGCTCTGTTACAATGCCGCAGGCCAGACGCAAGACGCCTTTTAGCGGTAAAGCGAAGAAGCAACAACTGCAAGCAAAGAAGAACAAGAATCTCTTATTATCATGTAAGTAAACTTGTGTAAGTGCTGTGTGGTCGTAATGTTAGACTATGTGGATACGTGGTAGGTGGTAGGGCCACATTGTAGCTATATTTTGGTTGTAATAATGGATCACCTCATCCTGGAAAGTACATTTTATACGTGGTGGAGCCATGCTGCAGCTATATTAGTAGTAAAGTTGTAGCACGAATGGGTTGGATCGACCGGGGAAGGACCACACTCTAACAGAATACCAGTGTAAAATAGCAGCTTAACACTGCTGTGTTTCGTATGGTGAGTGTAGAGAACCGGAGACCCTTTTTACTGGAAACGAGGCATTCCATCTTAGTCCTCATGGGTGACAACGCATCTGCTGCATTTTGATTCGCAAACGAGGATAAATGTAGATGTCTATAGGCCACAGCAACCACTTACCATCAGGTGGACTTTGTGCTCGTTTGTCACTCTATACTATAAAAAAAAGGACAACACTTTCACAGAACGCCAGCATGAAATAGCAGCTTAATGCGTGTGCTTCGTATGGTGAGTGTAGGGTCCTGCTAAATTCCTTTCTAGATCTTCCCAGGACAAAGATTTTTTTTGAGCCCTTGCATAAATCAATTATTCAAAATTTAAGTTCAGATCACTGTGGACAGTTGGTATCATTACCTTACATACACAAGAAACAGAAAAATAAGAAAGTTGTGTTTGTTCCAATAAATGAACATCGCTTGGAGAGGTTTAATTAAAAGACTTCCATCCCTTTCATTTAAAAATAGTGCTAATTATTTGTAGGATTTGTTATTTAAAACTTATAACTTGTGAATTTAGTAGGATTTTTTTTATAAGAGAGGAGACAAACGAGCATGCGGCTCACCTGATGGTAAGTGACTACCGCCGCCCATGAACAACTGCAACACCAGAAGAATTGCAGATGCGTTGCCGGCCTTTTAGAATCTTTACTGCTAGGATTAGATATAGAGTAGATTTAGGATATTTACTTCTAAAACTTTCTCTTTTAACAGTCGCAAATCATTTAATGAATGGGCGACAGTAAGAATTTATAAAAGTAGGCGAAAGTTATATGAGCTTTATATGGAAGGATCATATAATAGTAGTGTTATATTTAGAGATTATGTAAAAACATATTCTAAAATATTTAAAAAAGTGTGCTGCATAGCTAAGGCTTTACTTTACATTTAAGTAACAAAATTAAAACTGCATCTAACAACCTTAAAATGAGCTGGAAAATAATAAATAGTGAAACGGGCAAGGTCAAATCGCGCAACTTGGGTTTTCGATTGAATATTAACAATAATTGTATTAGATCTGATCAAGAAGTTGCTATGGCTTTTGAGAAACATTTTACTGATGTTCCTTTTTTGACAACTAAATCATTAAATTCTTCTCCTACTGTCGCCAAATCATTGCTTAAACAAAATGTAAAGGCTTGTTCAAATACTTTTAAATTCCATAGAGTACTGCCAAAAGATATAGTTAAATATTTTAAAACTATTGATGTTAAAAAAACGGCAGACATATGGGGGATTTCCGTTAAAGTTATTTTATCTATAATAGATATAATAGCACCGTATCTAGCCGCTATATTTAATACAAGCGTTAAATCTGGTGTATTTCCTGATTTAATGAAACATATTAAAGTCATACCTTTATTTAAATCTAGTAGTACATTAGACCCCACCAATTTTAGACCAATTTCTGCACTACCAAAGTTTAGTAAAATTTTTGAAAAATAATTTTGGATCATATGTTAAGTTTCTTTAATTTTAATAAATTGCTACATAAAAATCAATTCGGTTTTACAAAGGGTCGCTCGACAATTGGCGCTGGAGTTGAGCTTATTAAACGTATTTTTTGTGCATGGGAGAATTCATAGGATGCTTTGGGTATATTTTGTGACCTTTCCAAGGCCTTCGACTGCGTTCACCATGATACATTAATCAGGAAGCTACAGTACTATGGTGTCAAGAACACAGTGCTTAAACTTATTATTTCATATTTAAGTAATAGAATGCAGAAAGTTATTATCAATGGTAAAATTTCTTCCGGGTCACCTGTACTAATGGGTATCCCTCAGGGCTCCATTCTCGGCCCATTCCTATTTCTAGTGTATATTAATGACTTACCTTCTCTTGTAGGGGATAATCATGATGTAGTATTATTTGCTGATGATACTTCCTTGATTTTTAAACTTAAACGTCAATCATTTAAATGTGACAAAGTGAATAATGCTATATCAAAATTAGTGCATTGGTTTAACGTTAATAATTTACATTTAAACGGAAATAAAACTAAATGTATTAAATTTACAACTACGAATGTTAAACATCTGAGTACCAATGTGTTTTTAAATGGGAAAGAACTGAGCCCTGTTGAATGCACTGTTTTTCTTGGCATCACTCTCTACTCAAAGCTTCAGTGGGGCCCCCATATGTCCAAACTAGAAAGCAGACTAAGTTCTGCAGCCTATGCTGTAAAAAAGATTAAGAGGTCTCACTAGTGTGGAGACAGCTAGATTAGTTTATTTCAGTTATTTGCATAGCATAATGTCTTATGGGATTTTGCTATGGGGAAATGCGGCTGATTCTGAAACTGTTTTTGTTTTACAGAAGAGGCCCATTAGAGCCTTTTACAACTTAAAACCGAGACAGTCTCTTAGAGATAAATTTAAAGAAATAAATATATTAACTTTGGCCTCTCAGTATATTTACGAAAATTTAATGTATGTTCACAAAAACAAAGGTAGTTTTAGTAAAAAAAGTGATGTACATTCTGTAAACACTAGGAACAAACACAAGCTAGTGATACCAGTTTCTCGACTCTACAGAGTCAGTAATTCATTCTTGGGGCAATGTATACTCTATTACAACAGAGTCCGGGAAAGTGTACAGGCTCACTCTATTACCAAGTTTAAATGTTTTGTTAAGCTGAAACTATATAAAAAGGGTTCTTATAGTATAAATGAATACATGGTTGGTAATAACCCCTGGGAATGAGTTGGTCGCTTCTAAGCAGTTTCTAAAATAAATTTTGTAAATAGTTCGTAATCATTTATATTGTAAAATTTATTTAAAAAAAAAGTGCCGCTGGGTTTCTTGCTGGTTCTTCCCAGGACAGAGGGTTTTTTTTTTCGAACCAGTGGTAAAGTAAAAATGACTTTCAATAAGAATTACACATGTGATCCATATTGAATAAAAAATTATTCTATTCTATTCTATTCTATTCTGGACCAGTGGTAGTAGTAAAAAAGTGACTTTCCAAGTGTATTATTTTGTAAACTATGTCAAATAAAAACAAATATATTGTATCATTTCCTCAGCATCCACTAGCTCCAACGCATATGACGTGGTCTCCGTTAACTACCAGCCTAACAGATCGCGAGGTAGAGGCGACGCAAACCGCTACGCGCTGAAGTTCTACCGGGAGACTGACGAGGAGTTGAAACTGAAGAAGGAAGATGCCTTGTGAGTAATTCTGCGAGTGTAAACATTATTGTTTTTTTTGGAATGTGTTTTTTAGCTATTGTGCGTAGTAGTCTCAAAACGACGAATACATTAATTATAATTATACCAATTACATTTTGTCATAAGATCTTTATATTTTACACTAGCTGTTCCCCGCCCCGTTTCAATTATGTTTACCAACTCTAATTCTTTTTCTAAAATATAAGCCTAAGTTACTCCTTATAACATCTATTATCTGCCAGTGAAAATCCCGTCGAAATCGGTCCAGCCGTTTCGGAGATTAGCCGAAACAAACAGACAGACAGACTGACAAAAATGTTTAAATTGTGTTTTTGTTACAAGTACCGTATATACATACTTTCATATGCATTTTTGTAAAAAGCTGTTATTTTGACATAAGAAACAGTCCTTTAAAAAGCTAAAATTTATAACTTTAATTATAAAACCCCGAAACAAAAAAAGAGCTGGTTATCTTCAATTTGCTGAACAGATATTCTTGAAACATACCTAAGAACCTTCTCGATTAAGACAAGACACCTTTCAAATGAAAAATACTTAATCAAAATTGTGGTCCTACCCTGGTCGAGGCGACCCCTTCGTGCTACAGCCATAACACAGCTGCAGTGTGACTTAGTATAGGCAAGTATAGTTGTAGCACGAATGGGTCGGCTCGAACGGGGAAGGACCACGCTCTCACAGAATACTAGCGTAAAATAGCAGCTTAACACTGCTGTGTTTCGTATGGTGAGTGTAGAGAACCGGCGACCCTTTTTACTGAAAAAGAGGCATTCCATGTTAGTCCTCACGGGTGACAACGCATCTGCATTTTAATTTTTTATTGAGGATAGATGTGGATGTATATGGGCCACAGCAACCACTTACTATCAGGTGGACTGTGTGCTTGTTTGTCACCCTATCCTATAAAAAAAAAGGCTACATATCCCAAAGCTGGGTAAAAGACTTCCTATATTAACAATGTGCAGTAGCAGAGTCAGTTGAATCTTCAGTACCAATTGTTGGACTTATCTGTAGGTTTTGTAATGACGCTGAAGGAAGACACGGTGAGGAAACCGGCATATCTAAAAAATCCAAAATTAAAGCGTCTTAACCGCATGAGGGTAGCGTGGCGGACACTTTTCTTCTATAAAACCCTCACTGGATTGAGAGGAAGCCCACGCCGAGAGCGGGAATTGTGTAGACTGTAACTTCCTACTATAATAATTCACATGGTAAGCAAGTAGTAACGGGCTAGCTATATAGCTCTTAAGAACCGACAACCGATGTGGAAAATAGACTCTCGAGAGACAGCTTCGTGCTGGTAAGCCAAGTGTAGGGCGGCCCCCCACTAGATGGTGTGACGACCTGGTAAGACATGCCGGAAATAGATGGCTGCAGTTGGCTTAGGACCGGTTTGCGGCATTCCTTGGGGGGAGGCCTAGGTTTGACAGTGGACATATGATGCAATGTAATGATGATAACAGTGACAAGTTGTAGGATAAAGCCTACAGAAAGTTGCATACCATACTTTAGATCTCTTAAGATATTAACATTACCCTGTATGTATATACTAGAATCATGTATGTTTGTAAAGTGCAATCCGGATATTTTTAATATGAGAGTACAACAATCTTTTGTTAACCTTCGTCTTCGGAAACAAAAAATCCAGACAAATGTATATAAAACTGCCCTTATGAAAAAAAAAATTGTTGAAATGGCGCCTAAATTATATAATAATTTTTTTTTATAGTATTAGGGTGACAAACGAGCACACAGTCCACCTGATGGTAAGTGGTTGCTGTGGCCCATAGACATCTGCATCTATCCTCGTTTGTGAATTAAAATGCAGATGCGTTGTCAGCCTTGAGGACTAAGATAGAATGCCTCTTTTCCAGTAAAATGGGTCTCCGGTTCTCTACACTCACCATACGAAACACAGCAGCATTAAGCTGCTATTTTACGCTGGTATTCTGTGAGAGCGTGGTCCTTCCCCGGTCGAGCCGACCCATTCGTGCTACAACTATACTATTAATATAGCTGCAGCATGGCTCTACCACGTAAAAATTACCTGATCACATAAAATGTTATAATGCGCAAAAATTTAAACGTACTCTAAGCAATTTTCTTATAAATAAATGTTATTATAATGTCAATGAATTCCTATTTATTAATGATTTAAATTAAATAATATGTAATTTAATAACTTTGTGTTCTTGACTTTGTTTACTTAATTTAATTGTTTTTTTTGATTTGTTTTTTATAGGATAAGGGTGACAAACGAGCACACAGTCCACCTGATGGTAAGTGGTTGCTGCGGCCCATAGACATCTACATCTATCCTCTATTACAAATCAAAATGCAGATGCGTTGTCACCCGTGAGGACTAAGATGGAATGCCTCATTTCCAGTAAAAAGGGCCTCCGGCCACCTGCACTCGCCAAGCGAAACGCAGAGGTAAACTTCTACTTCATGCTGGTATTCTGTGAGGTCGTGGTACTACCCTGGTTCGAGCCGGCCCATCCGTGTGACAGCAAAAGCTACCGCGTGGCTCTACCACTGTTAAAAATTATTTTTATATGATTGTTGAATATTAATTTTATAATGTGTGAATATACATATACATTCATATGCTGTAAAAGCATTTCATGGAGATACTTAAAAATTATAATATTGTCAACCTTAATACCTGTGAAAACGAATAAATAATTTGATTGATTGATTGACAATGATGGGTTTCATAAGCCACTTATAATCAGATGGATTGTTAGATTATCTTTCATTTTTTTTTTTTTTTTTTTATAGGAGAGGGGGCAAACGAGCATGCGGCTCACCTGATGGTAAGTGACTACCGCCGCCCATGAACAACCGCAACACCAGGGGAATTGCAGATGCGTTGCCGGCCTTTTAAAAAGGAGTAGGCTCTTTTCTTGAAGGTCCCTAAGTCGTATCGGTCCGGAAAAATCCCTGGTGGTAAACTATTCCACAAGGAAGTTGTGCGAGGAAGAAAATATCTTCTAAATCGCACAGTGGTGGAGCGCCAATCATCCAGATGGTGTGGATGGTATCGGGAGTTCTGCCGCGATGTGCGTTCGTGAAATTTGGCGGCTGGGATTAATCCGAACAATTCCTCAGAGCACTCCCCATGGTAGATGCGAAAGAAAATGCAAAGAGATGCAACATGTCTTCGCAGTGCCAATGAATCGAGCCGATCGGAAAGGGCTCGGTCGTCGACGATTCGAGCCGCTCTGCGCTGGATGCGGTCAAGTGGAAGGAGCTGGCACTGGGGAGCCCCTGCCCAGAGATGGGAACAGTATTCCATGTGAGGCCGAACCTGCGCCTTGTAAAGTTGCAGGCGGTGTGCCGGCATGAAATACTGTCCCGCTCTGCTGAGCACGCCAAGCTTTTTAGAGGCCAATTTGGCCTTCTCTTCCAAGTGACCACGAAACTGCACGTCACTCGATATGTCGACTCCGAGGATACCGATACTGGCTGAGGCAAGAAGGGGAGTGCCTTGAAACTGAGGAGATACGACAAAGGGGTTCTTTTTAGCGGTAAACGCGCAAACTTGTGTCTTCTGAGGATTAAACTGGACTAGATTTAGTCGCCCCCAATCCGAGACTTTGTCCAGCAAAGACTCGACTTCAGACACAAGTTTGTTCCGGTACTCGGCGACGTTTTCCCGAGAAATATTGGCCCGGCCGGTGTATAGAGCATCACCAGTGCTGTCATCCGCATAGCAATGAATGTTACCAGTTAGCAACATATCATTGATATGCAGAAGAAACAGCGTTGGTGATAGCACACAGCCTTGTGGAACACCAGCGTTAATAGGCTTGTAGTCAGAACATGCACCGTCTACAACGACCTTGATGCTCCGATCTGCAAGAAAGCTGGTGATCCAATTGCACAATTTCTCGGGAAGCCCATAGGAAGGCAGCTTTGAAAGAAGCGCTTTGTGCCAAACCCGATCAAAGGCCTTCGCAATGTCCAGACTAACGGCCAACGCCTCCCCCTTGGACTCTACTGACTCCGCCCATCTATGGGTCAGGTAGACAAGAAGATCACCAGCTGATCGACACCGACGAAAACCGTATTGGCGGTCACTAATCAGCTGGTGATCCTCAAGGTACCGGATGAGCTGGCAGTTAATAATGGATTCCATTATTTTGGAGAACAAGGAGGTGATCGCGATAGGCCTATAGTTGGACGGGTCTGAGCGGTCGCCTTTTTTAGGGATCGGGTGGACAAAAGCTGTCTTCCATGAATTCGGGACTACGCCTTGGGAGTAGGAGTACCGGAAAAGACGCGTTAGGACCGGTGCCAACTCCAGAGCACACGTCCTCAGCACAATTGGGGGGATTCCGTCAGGCCCACTCGACTTCATTCAAATGTTTATAAAAATTGACTATTATGTCAGCTAATATGTATTTAAAGGTCTGGATAACAAATATCTAAAAAAATAAAAGTCGACATATATTCATCTGCTGTGCCTATATAGGTGATTATATAAGCACAGCAGGTGCTGGCTGTGGTATACCAAGCCAGGATATAGTTCTTTTAGAGGTGGTTGGGTACTAAAGACTGACATCATTGTTTCCTGCCGTAAGATTCGAGTTAGGAAGCAAAATTATATTAAGTTTGGTTGAGAATGACTGCACAGATCCGCGCCAGTGTACAGGCCTGTCTATTCTAATGGGATTATGGAGCAGAAAACGTCAGCTTAGTTTCTAATTCTGGAAAATGTAGACTATTTTTCTTTTCAGAAAATCTCTGAACCCAGTACCAGAGGAAGCTATGGAGGTGGATCCTTCAGATTACTTCCCCGCTGACATATCTTTCCCAAAACGTCCACCGTGGGACTTTAATATGACCGTCGCACAGTTGGATGCTCAGGAACAGAAATATTTTAGGGTATGTATTATAAAGATTAAAGAAGATATCCGCAGTTGAAACAGAGTAACCGTCATAATTGGCAGTAAGCTAGTCAATAGAAATATAGCTTGAATAACTGCCAACCAATTGGAGAAAAAGGTCCTTGAGTGGCAGTCTTATACTGGAAAACGAAATGTAGAGTGGTACCCCACTTGATGGAGTGACGACTTAGTAAGGACATGCAGGAAGTCACGAAAGTCAGCAGATGCAGACGGTTCAGGAGTGCGTTTTCTTGGGAGAGGCTTATAGTCAGCAGTGATGATGAATGATTAAAGGCATTTGGGAGCACCGTTACAGCATCCATCAACTTGCTAAGCCACCCGCTGCAACCCATTGCTAAGCCACTGCGCCACAGAACCGTTTTGTAATGACAATTCGGTTGCCAAACAGACAGGTAGGTGGCAGGCGTGGCAAATATGGCAAATTTCCCCCTTATTAGGCAACTAGCGATCCGCTTCGGCTTCTCACGGACACCTACCGGGTCCAATTGTGAATCTAAACCATCCAGGAATCTAGACAAAAGCACACAAAAAAATTCATGAAAATTGTTTGAGCCGTGATTTGTTGAGACTAAAGGACAGCAATTGGTTTTTATATATAAGATTCTCGCCTTTTCTCTAATATAATATACATGTAATCTACATATAAACCTTCTTCTTGAATCATTCTGTCTACTATGCAGATAAAATACGAGGGTGAATTGAAAAGTACTCGGCCTAACCAAGAAAATAAACAAATACTAAATCAGTTATATTTTTATTTTTCTACATAATCACCATCAAGTTCAATACACTTTTGCCACCTCCCCTTCCAAGCATTTAGACCGTTGAAAAAAAATTATTCTTCCTTAGAGTCAAAATATGCGTCTACAGCTGCTTTGACCTCGTCGTTTGTCGAAAATCTTTGATCTCCCAAGTGCTTTTTTAGGTTAGGGAACAGAAAGAAGTCTGATGGTGCCAGATCAGGTGAATACGGCGGATGCGGTAACAGTTCAAAGCCACAGTTGTGAATTTCAGCCATTGACTGTACTGACGTGTGAACACCGGCGTTATCTTGATGAAACAGGACTTTTCTTCTGAGCATTCCTCGACGTTTTTCTTTTATTTCCTCTCGTAAACGACGTAGTAAGGTGCAGTAGTAATCAGAGTTTATATTCTGACCCCTTTCAAGATAATCATAACCATCATAAAAAAAATCACACCTTTCGAGTCCCAGAATACTGAAGCCATCACCTTATTTGCCGACAAAATCGACTTAGCTTTTTTAGGGGGTGGTGAACCAGGTCTTCTCCACTGTTTTGATTGTTGTTTTGTTTCTGGTGTACAGTAATGAACCCATGTTTCGTCCATAGTAACAAAACGATTCAAAAAATCATCTGCATCGGCTTCAAATAACTCCAAACAGTCGCGTGAAATAGTCAATCGCGTCCTTTTTTGTTCAACTGAAAGCAGTCGCGGAACCCACCTCGCAGACACCTTGTGGAAACCCAACTCGTTGACAATGATGTTTTGAGTTCGTTCATAAGAGATGCCTATAATCTCGGCTATCTCTCTAATTTTTAATCTGTGGGCTCCCATTATTAAATCAAGTACTTTTTTAATATTTTCGTCAGTAGTTGACGTCGAAGGCCTTCCAGAGCGGGGTTCATCTTTCACACTCTCTCTACCACGCTTAAATTCTGCTATCCATTTTTTGACGGATGAATATGACAGAGCACAATCGCCTAATGTACCCCCTTCTTATGGAGGTACTTAATGACGGCACGCTGCTCGATTTGCTCCATTCGCGGAAATTATGTCCGATTACTTTGTTAATAAATTTATAAAATCACAACTAATTATCGCACACGTTTCGAACTTCACACAATGAACTAGTCTGAACTGAACTAAATAATGTGGCTAGATTTAATTTTTAGAATTGAATGGATCTGTGTTAGGCCGAGTACTTTTCAATCCACCCTCGTATATATGGGGGACGCCTTTGATAGCCTGTAATGAATGAAACATATTTTACTGTTACCATTATCGTTGCAGCCTATTAAAGTCCACTGCTGAACATAGGCCTCCTCCATAGATTGCCTCATAGAGGGGCTTTTCGCCATAGTTGCCACGCTTGGCAAGCGGGTTGGCAACCGCAGTTTTTTTATTATTTTAAGTTCCTATCAGGAAGATGGTGTTGCCCGTCACCTGTTTTAATTTCCCTCTGTCGCCTCTTACGACACCCACTGGACGATATGGGGTAGTGGATGTTCTTACACCGCAACTACACATTTACATACAGAAAATTTTATTGGACAAATTTACGTTAAATATTATTTGAAAAATCAAAACATACACCATACACCATGATTCAATAGGCTGGTGCACTTGCCACTGAACAACGCAACCATTGCTTATGCGCTGTGTTATATGAAAAGCAACAATTTAGACATGTCTTTGTATTGTTTCTTTACAGGAGTACATAGATCAGCTGCAAGCATCAGAGCACTGGAAGGACATGTCCTACTTTGAGCTTAATCTGGAGACCTGGAGACAATTGTGGAGGGTGCTGGAGATGTGCGATATATTGTTGCTGATCGTAGATGTCAGATTTGCTGTAAGTTTTTTGTTGTTACAGTAAAGTTTAGTATTTTTTATATTACATACATACTATACGTGGTAGAGCCATCCTGCAGCTATTTTATGGTTGTAGCACGAATGGGTCGGCTCGACCGGGGAAGGACCACGCTCTCACAGAATACCAGCGTAAAATAGCAGCTTAAAGCTGCTGTGTTTCGTATGGTGAGTGTAGAGGACCGGAGACCCTTGTTACTGGAAACGAGGCATTCCATCTTAGTCCTCACGGGTGACAACGCATCTGCATTTTGATTCGTAATACAAGATAGATGTAGATGTCTATGGGCCACAGCAACCACTTACCATCAGGTGGACTGTGAGCTCGTTTGTCACCCTTATCCTATAAAAAAAATATTAAAGATAAGTGACAAATGTACTTATGGTTCATCATCCATCTGATGGTAAGTCGATACTGCAGTTCATGGACTCCTGCAGCCAATTTCAATAAGAAGTCTACAGATACGTTGCTACCCCGAGAGCCAAGGTACAATGCCTTACAGCCGATAATTATATTGGATGCTTCTTGGTTGCAGTCCAGCTCAACCCAATTTCTGCCGCCAAGCACAGACAAACTCGCAGGCCAAAATGTAGTCCTCGTAAAAATATAACTGCAGGTTTAAGAGAAAAGACCGAAAGACCCATTTTGTTTCTCTCAAGTGTTTGTTTTGAATATCAAAATAGGTAGCTAGATCTGTCTTAAATTGGTGTCTTTGTACCAAAGTTAATTTATCATCATCATCATTACAGCCATCACAAGTCTACTGCTAAACATAGGCCTCCCCTAAGGTAGTCCGTAAAGCACGGTCATGAGCCACCTGCATTCTGTATGTTTCACCAGGTCATCACAACTTCAAGTTGGGGGCCGCCCTACACATTGCTTACCGGTGTGGGGCTGCCACTGTGGCTGTCAGGATCGTGATATTATCTAATCTAATCTCCAGGGTATGATGTTCCCACCGTCCCTCTATGAATATGTGGTGAATGAACAGAAGAAGGATATGATTCTGGTCCTGAACAAGATTGATCTCGTGCCAGCGAGCGTTGTTGCAGCTTGGAAGGCGTATCTGACTGAAAGATATCCAGGGTTGAGGGTTGTTTACTTCACATCATGCCCAGGGTATAATCTGAGGGGAGCCAGCAGTGATAAGGCTGGTAAGAACATTGTATGTTTATATTTATATGAAGCTATAGTAGCTCAGGGGTGTATTGCTCTGTAATTTCACAGTACTCGAGCAACCTGGGTTGTCGGCACCAATGAAATTGTTAAATGAAATTTTAAGTGCTGATTTACTATGTACTGCTATGTGGATTAGGGTTAAAAATAATGAGAACGAAATTAAAAAGACGTGAGAAGTTGCCACATGCACTAGAACAGCCCGGCCGTCTCCTCATTATCTATTTTAGAAATGAGAGTAGGCTGAAGGAGGAGAACTGGAACGAGGAAGGTGAGACAGTTTTTTTCTATAGAATAAGGGTGAAAAACGAGCACCTCCAGTCCACCTGATGGTAAGTAGATGCTGTGGCCAATAAGACATCTACATTTATCCTTGATTAAGAACCAAAATGCAGATGTTTTGTCACCCATGAGGACCAAGATGGAATGTCCAGTTCCAGTAAATAGGGTCGCCGGTTCCATACGAAAGTCAGCAGCATTAAGCTGCTATTTTACGCTGGTATTCAGTGAGAGTCTGGTCCCGGTTGGGCCGACAACCATAAGATAGCTGTAGCGTGGTAAAAAAACCACGTTTATTTTTTATATATGGTATTTTATTCTTTAACAGGTCTACAAGTGCGAAGACGCAAGGGCCGTCAACGCATGTGTTCTGAAGGAGCCACTAAAATATTGGAGGCTTGTAAAGATGTTGTCGATGGTCATGTAGACCTCAGCTCCTGGGAGAAGAAGATCGCCGAAGAGACCAACTTGGAGTTTGATGATGATGAGCAGACAGAAGTTGGTAAGTTAAAAAGTCACTTCTAGCAGGTTAATAAAATGTCAGTGTGCTAAGCTCAATTTCCTAATGTAATTGATATCTAATTTTTTTTAAAGAATTAGGGTGATAAACGAGCACACAGTCCACCTGATGGTAAGTGGTTGCTGTGACCCATAGACATCTACATATATCCTCAATAAGAAATCAAAATGCGGATGTATTATCATCCATGAGGACTAAGATGAGATGCCTCTTTTCCAGTACAAGGGTTCTCTAGTTCTCTACACTCACCATACGAAACACAGCTGCATTAAGCTGCTATTTTACGCTGGTATTCTGTGAGAGCGTTGTCCTTCCCCGGTCGAGCCGAGCGATTCGTGCTACAACTATACCAGTAATATAACTGCAGCATGACTCTACCACATGTAAAATTTAAAAATGAGCTAATTAGTTGTATTAATAATGGGTAAGTGAATAGTTCCTTTTTAGTTTAGTGACAGTAACACTACAGCTGATCATGAGGTTCCGGATTCGCATCCCGGGTCGAGCCAAAGTTAGTTATTGGGATTCTCAGTAGCAGCTCGTAGATAAGGAGTTGGTGGTGTTTCACCCCCGTGCCTCCAAAAGTACTTTAAGCCATAGGTTTTGCATCTGATCTCTGTCCGTTCGTGTCGGATTACCATCTTATCGGACTATGAGAGAGGGAATGGAAAGTGCACCTGTGCTTGCGCACACACTCGTACGCTATAGTTAAATTCTCCATCTGGATTCTCTTAGACCGTCACCATACTGTTTTTATAGCAAATGCATAGCATATTAAAAGAAAATAACATTATTTATTTATTTACAATCTACATTGAGTCGAATCCTAGTTCTGCCAGGTAACCCGGCGCATGATTTGTCGGGTAGCCGGATACTCGGCAAAATTATCTGGTGGTGTTTGAAGGCTAAAAACGTTAGGGGTAATGTCTATGATGGCCGCGGCTGCAAACCAATTCGCGTTATCGCGATCTATGTGACCACATATTCGTGAATACTTCGTCACATCACATTGTTGCAAGCACATCGCTTCACTGTCGGTAAACTCTCGCACATCAAAGCGTTTTATCGCGATGAAATTCGCTTGTGCGGTCACTCTTCAGGCGGCCCGCAGACGTCGTGTGTAGCGGACGTGTAGAATTAAATTTGAATTTACGACGCATTTTCGACAGTGACAATTTTTTGAAGTAATGAAAAGATGAATAATTTGATGAGACATTTTGAATTAACAATGCATGAATAAAACAGTCTGAAGCTGTCCCCTGTTGCCAAAAACAATCGTGTGTTTATCGCGATAAACTATTGTTAAACTTTAAAACGCGCAGCGTGACCAAGCACCGCCGTAGGCCGAAAGTTAAAAAAGTTAAAGTTACAGCCTATATACGTCACACTGCTGGGCACAAGCCTCCCCTCATTTGTGAGAGGGTTTTTAGGGCAAGGAAGTGCCTGCCGCGCTGCCCAATGTGTGTTGGTGAACTTCACATGTCGTCGAATTTTTTTTCTTATTTCTCAGACATGCAGGTTTCCTCACGATGTTTTCCTTCACCAACGAGCACGTGGTGAATCAGCATTTAAAATTGCAATTACCAATTTCATTGTTGTTGCCGGCGGGGATTGAACCCGGGTTGCTCACGTACTGTGAAACTTTAAGCAAGCGCTAACCATCTGAGATACCACGGCTCTTCATAGGCTGTAATGGTAATGTAATATAATAAGTATGCGGTTATTAATTATCCGGCATTGCCAGATACCCGGCATTATTATTCGGTACCCGGCCAGATCCTTAAAAAGTGCTGGTTCCTCTGTGTAGTGGATCAAAACCTGGTACCCACATTTATAATAATTAATTATATAATGAGTTACTACATTCAAAATTATTTTTTCCAGGTGAAACGATCATAGAGAAAGCTGATACTTCATACTTCACCCACGAGAAATACAAAAATGGGGTGTTAACTATAGGGTGTGTGGGTCAACCTAATGTTGGCAAGTCTTCACTTATGAACGCTATCATGGGGAGGAAAGTTGTGTCCGTGTCCAAGACGCCTGGTCACACAAAGCATTTCCAGACCATATTTCTGACCCAACAGGTTAATACAATATTTTAAATACTTGAAAATGATGTTGTTTGCCATGTAGTTTTGATAGATCCGTGGTGCAGTGGCTTAGCAATGAGTTGCAGCGCTAAGGGTCGTGGATACGAATTTCGAACGGAACATGTAGTGTCTACAAATAATTGTTCCGGTTCCGGATGTTTGTCCTTGTGAAATTTATGTTTGTAAACTGATTCCACGATATAGGAGAAAATCCTAGTGTGGAGGTAACATTTTGTTTTTAGTAAAAGTAGTGGCGGCGTTGAAGTTGTAAGGGACGACAGAAGAAAATTAAAAAGAAATTACGTTGTAGAGCCATGCTGCAGCTATATTAGTAGTTTAGTTGTAGAAAAATGGGTTGGTTAGACCAGAGAAGGACCACGCTCTCACAGAATACCAGCGTAAAATGGCAGCTTGACACTGCTCTGTTTTGTATGGTGAGTGTAGAGAACCGGAGATACTTTTTACTAGAAACGAGGCATTCCATCTTAGTCCTCACGGTTGACAACGCATCTGCATTTTGATTCGTAAACTAGGATAGATGTAGATATATGGGGCACAGCAACCACTTACCATCGGGTAGACTCTGTGGTCGTTTGTTACCCTATCATATAAGAAAAAACCATCTAGTGGGGGGCCGTCCTACACTTGGCTTGCCAGCACGAAAAAGAAAACAGGAGATGGGTAGCAGCATCTTACTGCAGCTTACTATCTCCAGTTTCATTTTCACTCAAAATAATAAGAAACTGCTGTAGTCAACCCACCAGCGAAACACTCGGCACGTTGTTTTTTATTTTTATACAATATATATGATATTTGTATTATAATTTGTTGTATGGTAGTGAAAGTTGGGTCTGGTAGAAGGAGCATGAGAGTAGAATAAATGCTGTAGAAATGCGGTCCTTAAGGAGTGTGCTAGGGCTGAATCTGAATCACAGGGTGAGAAATAGTGTGATAAGAGAAAAGGTGGTTGTGACCAGGATTAAGAAAGGAATGCTTCGGTGGTTTGGTCATGTAGAAAGAATGAATGAGGAAAGCGTGACAAAGCAAATTTATGTTGCAGAAGTGAACGGCAGGGTCGACGAGCGTGTATGCGTAGATATATGGATGTAAATGAGGTGAGAGAGGTGTGTCAGGATCGCGCCAAATAGAAGTCCGTAGTCCCTGCCTACCCCTCTGGGTGACAGGCGTGAGTGTATATGTATGTTGTATTATAACGTAGTCTATACAGGAAGCCGTTGCTCGGCAGTGGACAATTGATAGGATATAATGAATGGATTAATGAGTCTTTATGCTTTTACGTTTCCAGGTGCGTCTTTGTGACTGTCCGGGTCTTGTGTTTCCGTCGAAAGTGCCCCGTCCCATACAAATACTAATGGGATCATATCCTATAGCGCAGTTGAGGGAACCTTACACAACCATAAGGTAGGCCAGCCTTTACCTATACATATTTTTTTTATAGATTAAGTGTGTCAAAGGAGCATATATTTCACCTGATGGTAAGTGGATCCTGTGGCCCATAGACATACATCTACATCTATCCTCTCGATTAAGACTCAAAATAGAAATGCGTCACCCACGAGGATTTAGATGGAATGCTTTGTTTCCATTAAAAAAGATCTTCAGTTCTCTACACTCACCATACGAAACACAACAGCAATAAGCTGCTATTTCACACCGCTGACCTGACCCATCTCGGAATTAATAAAAAAAACCCTTTTTACTGGAAACGAGGCATTCCATTTTAGTCCTCACAGGGATAACGCATCTGCATTTTGATTCTTAATCGAGGATAAATGTAGATGTCTATGGACCAAAGCATCCACTTACCATCAGATGGACTGTATGCTCGTTTGTCATCCTTATTCTATACATAAAAATCTATAACTATAAAATTACATATTTAGATATAAATATTCACATATTTAGACATACCATAGGTAAATAGTATTTCCTTTCTAGGTTCTTAAAATTTTCTGGTAGTTGAAATTTAGTGTTAAGTTTTGTGAACATTTGGGTGTGTGTTACTCAATCACTCATATACGATTAACCGAATGTTGTAGATATTAACGGCTTCATGGTGCAGTGGCTTAGCAATGAGATGCAGCGCTTATGACCGCGGTTTCGAATCCCGCTTGGCACAATTATTTGTAATTTTTCTGGATCTTGTGGAATTTATGTATGTAAAATGCCTCCACGAAGCAAGAGAATATCTTAGTGACTTTTTTTTGTAATATTGGCACATCTAGATAGACCGTGTAATAGAAAAGTTACACTGGGAAAATTAAATTGGTGGCGTTTGTTTTGCGCGTTGCGAACCTGCAAGCAAGAGAATCATTGAAATAACAGTTTTAGATTAACTGTTATTAACAGTTTTGAATTAACTATTGTTGTTTTATATTAACTGTTACTTCAAATGATGTTACGATTTGAAATAACAATTATTAACTACATAACAGTTTATAAACTGCTATTTCAAATGAAGTTACTACTAAAAATGACTGTTTTACAATGTTCCTGTATTGTAGTTGTTTTAATTTTTGCTTTTTTCTTATAGGTATTTAGCGGAGAGATTAGATTTACCAAAATTACTTCGCATCAGTCATCCGGAAAACGATGACACGTGGTCACCTAGAGATATATGCGATGGGTGGGCCAAGAAACGTGGATATCTCACTGCTAAGTCTGCCAGGTAAGTACATGTTAACATTGTTTAATTTAATTTAACAAATTAACAACTGAACTTTGTATAAAAGCTTAAGCAATAACGACATGGAATAGATTTTGGTAACTATTTTATTTTCATTTTATTTTTGTACTATATAATAGGGTTATTTCTCAAAGAGTAGCCAAATTTTATACTTAAGTTCAAATAAAGTTATTGCAGTTTTTGAAAATAAGAGTAAATAAGGCTTACACTTTTATTTGAAACTACCCGAAATTGAATGTGATTTATGGGCAACAACCTTTTTGCCTACCGATCGACTTACGAATGTGTGCGTGCGCAGTAAAATCAGTTAAAATATTGCATTACCGTACATTTTGAATGTAAAACATAAAAGGGTCAGAATGTTTGAGATCTTTTTAAAATTAATTTTTCTTAACTATTTTGCCTATATTACTTATTCTAAACCTTTGCCTGCAAATTTAGCCCGTTATTGAAATATGACTATGTATTTATTTTATTTTCATTTTGTGTCACCATTTTAAGAGAACGCTAACTACCAAAAACTAGGCTAACTAGGTTATTCAATCAGGAGCAAAATAACAGTGTACTGAAGGTCCGACTGCACAGGCAAGTGATTCAACACAATACATGCACTAGTGTATCGACAGTACAAGTGTACTGATATGTGACTGTATGGACAATTGCACAATAGAGCAATTTGCACTAGTAGGTACTCGACAGTGCGCTTATAATGAACTTGTGAGTACACTGACCAGAACATCAGCCGACTGTAGGTTAGGAGTGGGCTGTAACAGGTAAAATCGTTTATCTCTTCCGCCTGTTCCAGTTCTATATATATAACAGTTCCAAAAACCTTTTACAAAATAGTAGAGTGGTACTACAGTCCTGGTAGGTACTTCTCTTTCTAACTAAGGTGTTGAACCTATTCGAGAAAAGGACAGAGCTTGAGACAACCGTAACAGGATGTCACAGTGTAACAGTAACATTTTATATCTTATTCTAATAAAGTAACTGTCACTTGTATGAATATTGTTATCTTGCAAAACAGGAGCTGTTTTTTCAGTTTGTTACAGCGAAAGGCTGCTATTTTAAGATACTTCCATAGGGTGCTTCTCTTTCTAACTAAGGTATTGAAGCTATGTGAGAATAGGAAAGAACTTGTGACGAGTAACAGGGTGTCACAGTAAAGGAGATGAACTGGATTCCATACAAACTTGGGCCCGGCGTGAACAAACTTAAAATATGTCTAAGTTTGAAGATTTAAACATTTGCTACTTATGTCAAAAATCATGGACCTTGGGTTTTGTTTTTATTTTATGTTTTATGATTTGTAGGTTATGTAGTAAAATCACTCGTTCCTGTGATAAATTGTTTGAATAATTTGAAAAGAACACAAAATAATGCTGTTTGTAGTTATTATTAAATAAAGTAAAATAAAACAACCTTTTTAATTGTTTACATATTTTCTGCAATTATTTATAAATAGTCATCTAGAAAAGCAGCCGTAGGCTGTACATTGTCTATTCTATTCCTCTCAAAACTTAAGTACCACATTATTGTCATTATGTGGGCGCAACAATCTACTGTCCTGTGATCCAAGAGAAAAGCCAAGAGTGAAGTTAAATAAATCCACGAAAGTAAAAACACGAAATCTATGCAAAGAAAAGTAGCCATAATGCTAAATGCACATGCTGCATGTTTAGATGAAAAGTTTAAAAGTCGAAGTTACCAAGTTAAGTCTCCTTCGGAATAGGCAATGATCAATTACTATGCAGGCTATTCAGTCGTGTAGGTTAATATTCATGTCTTTTTTTTAGTTTAATAACATAACCTTAAAATCGTTTTTTTTTAAAATTCAATATTAATCTACAGATTCGCCTCAATGTTTCAATATTTTGATTTTTTTTTGATAATGAAGGCTTTTATTATTACTCAATTGTCACCCTTATTCTTTAAAAAAGTAAGTTTTCTTTTCTTTTCTTATCCCAAACACGAACATACAGAACATTATTTTTTATATACAAAGATTGAATATAGACATAAGAATTTAATAAAAAAATAGCCTTCATTATCTATTGCCATAGACAAAATACAAAAAATATTTAAAGACGTTTCGTTTTTGCTATAGTAAGAACATTAGATTTCGTTTTTCAGTTTTAAAAAAATGTTTTTATGATTGTCCCAAATATTACAGAAATTTTTGTATGACTGTTACGAATGATGTCAAGCATCCATTTAGTTTAGTTTAGTTTAGTTTACGACGGGCTGTTTTCCGCAACTCCACGTCTATGCGCGTATTTTGCGTGTGGGCAGGAATAATATGCTTATTCGAGCCATGAGATCTCCCCGAAGAAGCTCAACAGTCCTTCGATGTTGCATGCAACTTCGGGGAGTGATCCCGGCGTGCCGAGATGTTCAGCCCTGTACGTAGCGACCTCCGGACATTTCAATAGCACATGGGCCGCCGTTTCTTCTTCCTCCATACATGCCCTGTACAGGGGACTGTCTGATCTGTAACACCTATAGTAAATAAATGCTTGTTAAAGATAGCAATTGTTACTATCCTGATCTGCGACTTGTTCAGTCTCATTAGAACGTTGGTTAAACAACTGTTTATTTCAGGCAGGGCCTCCCTAGCTTGTCTACAGTCTACTAGATTTTTTCAAAGCTGAGCGTGTAGATCTCTGGATCCACTGTGTCCCTTTATCCATTGCAGAGTCACATTGTTTTTTTTATATACCTCATTTAATTGTTGATGGCATTCATATATTAGTTCCGAGTTCACCACTTTGCAACTCAGACCTTGTAGTACCGCCCTACTGTCGGCCAGTATTTTGATGAGGAAGTCATTAACCTTCCTAGCATCTATTGCTATGGCCGCTTGAATGATATCCATACATTCCGCCTGAAAGACTGTTATAGGTACCCAGCGGTGTGCATATGTGGATATTGAGGTCTTCAGAGAAAGTTCCAGAACCTACACCTTCATTTGATTTAGAACCATCGGTGAAAACTCTAAGCTCTTTTGGGCTTAATCCTTCCGGCTGGCTGGTTTCATTTAATTGTATCTTATACTTCTTATCGAATACAAATTGTTTGGGAATCTTCTCGTACTTGGCTTGTAAGATAGGAATTTTTGAGCGAATTCTGTCAATTATGCCTGTATGAGGGACAAGCACCCATTTTCGTACATCTCCTTTTTTATCTTATTTTAACAAAGGTAACTTTCATATGTATGAATAAAGAAAAACTTGTGACTGTCTTTTAGTAGATTTGTTATCTCATGGCACAAGGAGCTTATTTAAGATACCTGTTTTTTTATCTGTTACGATAAATACTCCTTACTCCTAGTATAGGTACCAATGCACAGGCAGTGCGAGTGTACAGAAGATGAAAGTGCACTAATAGGCTGCAGGCACCGTTGCACGCAGTGCATGTGCAAACGAAGGGTTTTCTCTCTTGAAAAGTCATTGCTTTGATGTTGAAATGCAAGATTTTACTGTATTAGAAAATATGAGATAGTATAAATTTTTACTCCAACAAAAGGGTGACCGCTTTATTTTTTTTAAATATTTATATTTACCACAGAAGACTAATAATAAAGCATAGCATGCACTTAATCGAGTTTTTTTTTTCAGGTTAGACACATACAGGGCGGCGAACAGCTTATTGAGAATGGCGTTGGACGGAAAGATTTGTCTATGGTTACGGCCGCCGGGATTCACAAAGCAAAGAGGTTTGTTATTAGTGAACTTTCATATAACCACATATAATAAATAAATATATAATTAATAGTATAATAAATATTATAACATTTATTATGAGAATGCCTGCTGGAAGAAATTTCAATATGAAATAAGCAGCGCCTTTGTACAAAATATCTTGTTTTTTATTTTTCATTGTAACATCATTACGTGGTGTGTAAATAAATTGTTAAATCAATAAGTAACTTATGGGTTGGTTCTTTATTTATTTAACAATTTATGTGTTATGGGCACTCGCTAATATGGATTTTAGAATATCCTTAAAATTTTAGAATATCCTTAAGATGCTTATTATTATTTTCGGGGTTTCTCAGCGTAATAAAATCGTGTAACTATTCGGGAAATGGGTAGCAGCGACAAACAAGAGTACTTGACAAAGCCTAACGTATCAATATAGCTTAAAGAACTGACACTAATGGTGAAGAAAGGTTCTCCATTCGACCTTCTGCTGGCAAGAGCAGTGTTGACACTTTACTATATGAAGAGACAATCTGAAATATGTCTTGCGATCTTCTATTCATTTGTGAAAATTATAATAAATACTCCCAGAGTTACATTTGCCGAGGGTGAGTTGAAGATGACTATGAACGTCTTTTTCAGCACTAAATTTTCTTTCACAGAAAAATACGAGACCTGCGAAGAGATTAAGTACGTAAAATGGGTTCAAGCACTCACACATGCCGAGGGCGAGGAGTCGGACGTGGTATCGGACGACTCCGGACATTCCGGATCCGGGCGACACGATTCCGGACGACAGAGTTCCGAACAATCCGGATCGGACACCGATGACGAGAGCGACAAAGAGGAGCAAACTGCTATCGCTAATAAGTTTGCCGCCTTGGCTAGTGTCGAGTGAATTGTCGAGAAATACGGAAATATTTTATGTCTGTCGGTTCCTATTTCTTATTGCGGAAAATTCCGACATGTGGGCTTTTTCACTAACTTTGTTGACATTAAAGTTATAGTCACTTCGTAGTATACTGCGTCGTATGGTTTTAAGTTGTGCTAGCTCTACAGAAAAGCCATATAGAATACGCAACAGCTATATTACAGTTGTAGCACGAATGGGTACACTCGACCGGGGAAGGACCACAATCTCACGGAATACCAGCTTGACATAGCAGCTTAATGCTGCTGTGTTTCGTATGACGAGTGTGGAGAACCGGAGACCATTTTTACTGGAACCGAGGCAATCTATCTTAGTCCTCAGGGGTGAAAACCCATCAGCGTTTTGATTCTAATTGAAGATAGCATGCACTCACTTACTTAGGTGGACTCTGTGTGCTCGTTTGTCACTCTTATTATATATAAAAGAAGTGACTCTCATTTTGATATCAACAATTTTAGCGTACAGGCCTGCTGTACTGCGATCATGTGACTATGTTGGGAATCGTTTGCCGGTAGAAAGCACCTAGAAGCTCTGTTATTTTTTATTAAAATAATATTTTGTAATTTAAAATAAGATATTAATGCATAAAGACGTTGCCTTATAATTGATACTGAATTAATTATATAATACAATGGAACCAAACTTAAAACATTAATAAAGTCATCCATAATTCCCAGCAGAGTTACAAAAATCGCATTACTGGATGCCTGCCGCGTTTACAATGAGTCTGTTAACAATATTTTATATAAATAATAATTAAAATAAAGATAATGTTGTGTATGAATATATTATATAAATCATTATTTATACATGTGTGGCATTATTTTAGAAGTCAAAACATCTTTAGAATAGTTGTGATGTGCAACTCGATGAAACTAAAAAGAGAAACATATACATCAATAGGATTTATGTTGAAGTGTATAGACATTTGCAATAACGCTATATTTCGCGAAAATCTTTGAAAGTTATAATATGTGTGAAGACAGCCATAACGGCTGTCTTCACTGGTTTGGATAATTAATTTTATCCACCAATTTAGTTTGCGTGAGAATGAGATAGAATACAGTATACAGTGTTTCCTATTATCTCGGTGTCGTAAGCGTAAGCGACGTAGGCTTTGAAAGTCAGTTTTCTCGAACATTTGTAACAAAAGACTCCACTCGCCATCTTGTTTAATAGTTTTTACAAGATGGCGTCAGCAGCTGATGTAATTTTACCGTTATAAATGGTGTTTAGTTAATCATTTTAGCAACAGAAAACAAAGGTTTGCCTACAATTTTAAGAATTATTTAGTGGATTTTAACATAATTATCAGGTCAAGATGCTGAAGCTGCCCCTGGTAAGTCAACCATTCCTCCGTTAGTCCTTAGGTAGCTTGTCATTCCATCTTACACTGCATAACCAGAGCTTCTGTCTTAGAATTACTTCAATGATGGCAGACCCACGTTGCAGTTATATTATGGGTGTAACACGAATGGGTTGGCTCCACCGTGGAAGGTCTACACTCTTACAGAATACCAGCGTCAAATAGCAGCTTAAGTGTTTCGTATGGCGAGTGTAGAGAACCAGAGACCCTTATTACTGGAAATAACGCATTCTGTCTACGTCTTCCGTAACGTCTACTAGTGCTGCAGTTAATAATACTTGACCAGGGTTGTTTGCAAAGCGTGATACAGTAATACCCCGGACTTACACGATAGATGGGACCAAGCGATAGCCGTGTAAGCCGAATTCGCGTAAGTCGGGGTTCAATTTTGCACATAAATACGTATAAAGTTTAACAATCACAATAACGACACAACAAAACAATAATTTAGAAGAATCATGTTTAATAAAATTAGATAGTAAAAATAATTTACATTACTGTGAAAACAACATAAACCAAAGTTATTTTGATGTCGAAGGCTTCATATATTCTAACAATGTCGCCTGACAAGTTAAGTTTTTCTTCTTCTCACGTAAAATTTCCTCGTAGAATGCCAGTAATTTCTACATCTTCGTTTCTGGATATTTTGAAAATTTGAAATTTTTAGGGGTTGACAACCTTTTTTTAAATTTGACTTTACTTTTACATTTGTATAACATTAAATAATATTTAACATTTGTAAATATCAATGAATCATAAACCTTTTTTTTTCCAAATTGAGGATCTTGATTGTTTCATATTTACAAATGTTATTATTAGGTGAAAATTTAATAAGGACCAATGTTTTCCAGGGTGATTTAGCTGTACCTACTTATATAAATGATTTTTTTATAAAACAAAAAATAGTACAAAAGGTTTGTAATCTCTGCATAAAAAAGTCACTTACTCTCAATTTCAAAGAAAACACATAGAAAAACACGTAGTTACCCACTAAAAACAAGTATCCTTCCGTTTGTAACTGACGTTTGACGTCAAATAAACTTAATTAGGTCTAAATAAGTGAAAAAAGCATAAAAAAGAACATTACTTTTACACATGTCTGATGGCACAATAGGCTGATGGTCTGTGTCGCTTGACACGCCAGGAGTGTCTTGAAATATTTGATTTTTCCGATTCAACTGGGTCTAATGAATCAGGTTGTTCAATGTCTTCATCATGCTCACGCATTTCCATAAACTCGTCAATTGTTAGCTATTGATTGTGTGAATCCAGCAATTCTTGGACGTCATCATTACCCACCTCTAAATTTTATTGTTTGGTTATATCGACCACTTCTTCACTTATACCATAAATTTGTTCGGGATTTGAGACTGATTCTTCTTGAGCTTCAGTGGTAAAAAAAAATGGACACAGCTTTTTCCAGACGCCATTCAAAGTTTTTTGTGAAATCTCATCTCATGATTGTCCAATAATTCTTACAGCATCTAAAACATTGAATTGCTTCCAAAAGTCTTTGACAGAAAGCTCGTTATTTAGTCTCGTAGCTTCATTAAGATGTGCAAATGATCGCCTTGTGTAGTAAGCTTTAAATGTTTTAATGACTGCCTGGTCCATTGGTTGAAGCAAGCTGGTAGTGTTTGGTGGCAAAAAAACGACTTCAACCCGTGGATCGAAATTAAAGAGTTCTAGGAGGATGACCTGGTGCATTGTCAATTGGTAGCATCACCTTAAATGGAATTTCTTTCAATTCGCAATAACTGTCGACTTCAGGAATATAATGATGACCAAACCAGTCTTCAACAATTTAAAATTAAAAATTTTGTACTGCCTGCTTCAATATAAGTTATTAAGAATAACTCAAAAACTATTGGTCTGACATTGATCGAATTCATATGGGATCACACGAGAAGTACCAGATTTCAAATAAAAAAAGAATCATCGAAATCGGTTCACCCAGTAAAAATTTATGAGGTAACACACATAAAAAAAAGAAAAAAAAAAACAAAAACATACAGTCGAATTGAGTACCGTCTCCTTTTTGGAAGGCGGCAGAAAAGAAAAACTGTCACTCAAGCTTCCGCGTTAGACTTTAAAATGACAAAACAAATCTAAAGCTGGTTTGTTTTTTAAGGCTCTTGGATTTTCTGAGCGATAAAAAAGAGGTTTCAATTTACAATCATCAGCTGCATTAGGTTTCGTCATTGAAAATGGTTTGGCTCGAGTAGCCACCATCTTCAATCATTTTCTTGAGTTTTTCTGGATGAAGAGACGCAGCTCTGTGTCAGCACTTGCCACCCTTAAAGTTTTTGCGATGCCAATTACAATGAATTTTAAATCGGCTGAACCAGCCGTTACTAGTTTAAACTCTTCATTTTTGGCGGCCTCCCGAGCTTCTTTTCGTCTCTCAAAAATTTGCTTAGCTTAGAAAGCACACTCTGTTTTGGTCAACAGGACAATTTTTAAGTCTTACTTGATTATCACACTATAATTGTAACATTGTTTCCATCTGAGCGATAATACCGTGACGTTTACGAATGATGCTTGAAATCAAAGATTGAGAGCCTTTCACAGCTTCCGTAATTTTTTCTTTACTTTTTATAACCGTTCGCACTGTTGATTCCGGTAGGTCAAATTTCTTTGCCAATTCGCAATTTTTTTTTTCGATTCAGTCTGATAATATTTAGTTTACACTCCAGTGTTTTTCGTGTTGTCTTGTTAGGTTCAAATGACACATTTTTTGATTTTTTTTGGATGACATAATTAAAAATAAATTAATAATAATGTCCACTACATACATACAATAATTCCACGAGGAACACGACCGAGGTTGTCGTAAACCAAATATGTATTTCATACGTAAAACAATTGCACGCGTAACACGTTCGAACTTGTCATAAACCGAACACTGACAGAGCGAAGTGTGCAAATGAAAAACCGCGTATCTCCGAATTCTCGTAAAAAGGGGTAGAGTAAGTCGAGGTATGACTGTACTACTCTGTTTTGTTCTGGTTGGTCTGCTTGTTTTGCTTCCTCGCTTAAGATTGGTTTGTTTAATGATTTCTTATATATATGCAAACACTACACATTGATTAAAACTATTTTACGGATTTTATCGCGTTTAATTTTACTTGTTTTTAAATCCCGTTTTTGTTATTTGGGGTGCTTTGTAGCACCCATGGTCATGGTGAGCTGAGGTGATTGACGTCCCGATGTCAAAGCTAACCCAGACTTAAACCCGTACTGGGTTTAAGGTACTGTGAAACACGCCAACATTGCCCGAAATTTTAAAATAAATCTAGATATCTCAAGATTTTTGTATGCAACCCAGGACATAGTTTTTATCTGTGTCAGCACTAAGATCATATTTATGCTTTGACACCGTCAAATTTAGCTTCTGAAATCGTTTTCTTGATCATATAGACAATTTTCAATGCGGGCAAAGTTATCTGGACTTTTAGCCAACATTACCCACCGAGATTTTAGCGGAACTATAGCTTTTATTTCAATGATATTAAAAATAATACAAGCCTTTTGGCAATAAAAGCTAGTATATAAAAAGTCTACTCAATATCAAACATATTTTCAAACTAAAATGAATGGGCAATATTACCCTGATATTTTTTCTCTTCTCCATACAAACGGTAAGAAGCGATTTAAAAGTGCTAGGGTTGTCATATTTGAGTTAAAATAAAACATAATATATTATATTTTATAAAGTATGTGGGAAGAGGCAATTAAGAAAAAATATTTTTAAAATGCAAAGTTGTTTATTAAAGGGTTTAATTGTGTTTAATTGACTAAATTTGTTACACAAATCAACATTGTTAAAAAATTATAAAATTTGTTTAATGTTTAAAAAATGATTTCTTATATTTACGCGAACACTACACATTTTTTAAATAAAACTAATTTTACGGATTTTATCGAGTATATTAACTTATTTTTATATTCCCGACGTTTCGGGTGCTTTCCAGCACCCGTGGTCACGGGGGACTGAGTTGTTTGCCTCACATCTGGCTATTTATTGTGGAAAGAAGAGTTCTACATGCAAGTAGACGGAGTGGCAATGGGCTCACCTGTATCTCCCGTAGTCGCCGACATATTCATGGAGGACTTTGAGGAGAAAGCCTTTCTTACTGCTCCTGTAAATCCAAGATTCTACAAGCGGTACGTAGACGATACTTTCACAATCTTACCATCTGACAAAGTAACTGCATTTTTAAACCACCTTAATTCCATAAACCCTAAAATACAATTCACAATGGAGTTAGAGGCAAACAATACTTTAGCTTTTCTAGATGTTTTAGTCATCCGAAATCCTGATAACACTATTGGTCATACTGTGTACAGAAAAAATACCCATACCAACCGATATTTAAATGGTGAATCTCACCATCATCCTTCACAGTTAGCTACCGTGGGAAAATCTTTGTTTCAGAGAGCACGAGGGATCTGTGACAGAAAACATCTGGCCGCCGAGCTTCAGCATGTCGAGCAAGTACTGCAAGACAACAAGCTTTCGTAACTAATCAACAATATCATTAATGAATATACTGAGCATTTCTAAGAACTTAATTAAATTATTCTATCAAAAATGTAGTCTTAATCAAAATTCTTAGTAATTGAAATTAATAATAAATTTGAATAATTAATTTCAACAGTAAAAAAAGTTTGTTGCGTTATTTTTATTGTATGTTGAAATTACTGAGATCTACATGAAATACAATTTGACCACGTCGAGTAATCGTTGGCTCGGGTAAAACTGTTAAAACATCTTCTAAATGTTGTATGTTGCAAATGTCATCAACGGGTGGATATGAAAAGGCCATTCCTGTATTACATTTAGATTCTTTAACTTTTCGTAAAAATTTAACCGTAGGAGTTACACCATTAATCGACAAAACCTTACCGACAAAGTGTTTCAAACTCTTTTTGGTGGAGAATCGAACAATAATCCAGTCATTTACTTTGTCTTTCTTGATTTTCAGAAAAAATATTTAAACTCATGTCATCCAAAGGAGGTTATTACATCAGGGAGCTCAAAATTTTCCTTATCTTCTTGTTCTCTTAGGGTTTCAGAAATGTAAAAATCATTTATTGTTTCATAATCATCATCTGTGTCAACTGTCATAAAATAATTATACGCAGATATCGAGCTTGATTCACTATCGTTTGGAGTAGGCCGCCTTCTTTTGATTGAAGTACGTTGTCTGGCTGATTTTTTCCTTTTTGAATTATTTTTAACCTCTTTCTTTCTATCACTTTTCGTATCTTTCCTAGTATGTTTCTTTTTTATTTTCTTCGCGACTTTCTTTTTCTTCCCTTTCAGGCATTCTGGTAAATCAGTTTCATGTGTGGCAATGAACGATATATTTTCAGTGTTATTCGACAGTTCTTTTAAAAAACAAACATCAGTCACCGGTGTTCCTGCTTTTAGGAGTACATTTGAAAGTATTGTTATTTTATTTTTAATAGGACGATCTTGCATGGAGTTTTCATAATCCTTTCCAGCAATTAATATTTTGGTGGTACTATTTGCGAAATCTTTTGAATGTAAATGATCTGTGAGTGATTTTCCGGTTTTAATACGCAATGATTGGCCTAAATAAAAATTAATTACATTGATACATTGTCTACTAAGGTTTTCAGGAATATAATTATCCCTATACTGAGCGATACTTATAGACTCTTTGAAGTCTTGAACAAAATTTGTACAAGTATTTGAACAAAGATCAGTACGTTCTGCTACAAAAAGGCCAGTATGTTCATCTAAATAGAACGATTCTTGATTTGTTTTTTGCACATTACCCAATTTAACGGATTTCGCTTTTGTTTTTTTATTGCAAGTATCCACATTTAAATCAAAAATGCTTACTGATTGGCCAGGCTCGCAATCAATTTTTTTACTCCTCTGTACTTGCATAGGCTTTTGAGCTCTGGTTTCTAACAAATAATCTACCAGTACTTTCTATCGATTCCACAGGACAGTATTTTCCCTTGTATTTCTGGAATCTTCTTAAGGACTTCCTGTGGTTTAAGGGGAAATATTCCCGATGCCCTAAAGCCACTTATTATGTTCTTTTTTTCTGTTATTTTAATTGCTTCTGTTAATTCATTAAGCAATTTCGGAAAATGTTTTTTGTTTAATGTGGCTTGGGTTGGATTCTTGAGCTTGTATTGGTACAAAATTTTACGCCAGCATCTTTTCAAAGGCGCAAAAAATGCAACATCTAGTGGTTGCGTGAGATGTGTAGATCTCGGAGGGATGAATACAAACTTAATGTCATGTTGCTCGCATGACTCTACTACTTTGAAACTCAAATGGCTAGATAGGTTATCATCGCAAAGGACAAGTTTTGTCCCGACCGTTTCATTTGCCTATGGAAGAATTATTGTTTCAAAGTAATTCTCAAACATGGCGCTGTCAAACCAACCTGACTTAGTACAATTGTATCTGGTTTCCGGTGATCCTCCATTAACCCATTCTGAGTATAAATTGGTTGCTTTGTATACAACATATAAAGGAAGGCACCTACCATCTGCGGTAGCCGTAAACATAAGGGATATGTTTTCTTTGGTGGAATTAACTATTCTCTCTGGATATTTTACTCCCCTTCTAAAAATGCTCTTAGAAGAGCCAGGGTCGTCGGAAAGGTTGGTCTCATCGAAATTTACGATATTTTCTGCTGGTATGTTTTTTAATGTTGAAGTTAAGTTATTAAAATAGTTGAGTATGTCTTGAGCTCCCCTTTCAGGTTTCGCCTTTGAAATATTTTGGGTAGTTCGTAAGGTCAATTCATCAGCATGCCTTGCCAAAAAGCTTTGTACCCAAGCATCACCTGGAATCTTATTCTTAAAAATATGATCTCTTGAGTGTTTTTTTGAGATATTCGTAAACCAATAGCTTTACATCAAGTTTTGTAAGCGGTAAGCCAAAATCGCTAGAAGCTTGTAAAACCTTAACAATTTGATCCTCTTCTTT